TTATTTATTGGTCCAGTGTTGAGGATTTTTGTTTTCTTTATACTAAGGTGCAATCCATACCAAAGGCTGTGGTCTTGGATCTTCATCAATAAGTATTTTAAGTCCTCTTGGTTTTCAGCAAGCAAGGTTGTATCGTCTGCATATAGCACATTGTTAATGAACCTTCGTCCAATCCTGATGCCCTTTTTCTTCATAGAACCCAGCTTCTCAGATAACTTGTTCAGCATACAGATTGAATAAGTATGGTGAAAGAATACAACCCTGACACACACCTTTCCTCATTTTAAGTCATTCAGTGTTCCCTTGTTCTGTTCAAACTGCCTCTTGGTCTATGTACAGGTTCATTATGAGCACAATTCAGTGTTCTGGAATACCTGTACTTCACAATATTGTCCATAGCTTGTCGTGATCCACACAACCGAAAACCTTTGCATAATCAATAAAGCACAAGTATACATCTTTCTGGTATTCTGTGCTTTCAGCAATGACATCCCTATTTCTCCGTCCTTTTCTGAATTCAGCTTGAACCTCTGAAGTTTTCTGTCAATGTATGGTTGCAGCCATTTCTGTATTACCTTTAGTAAAACTTTATTCGCATGGGATATCAGTGATATTTATTAGCAGATGATTTCTGCATTTCATTGGGTCACCTCTCTTTGAAATGGCCACAAATACAGATCTCATCCAGTCAGTTGGCCAGGTACCTGTCTTCCAAACTTCTCGACATAGATGAGTGAGTACCTTGAATGCTGCATCACTTGGTTGAAAGATTTCAGTTTGTATTCCATCAATTTCCAGTGCCTTGTTCTTTGCCAGTGACTTCAGTGGACCTTAGACTTCTTCCTTCAAGATCATTGGCTCTTGATTATATGCTACCTCTTAAAATGGTTGAACATCAACCATTTCTCTTTGGTACAATGACACTGTGTAACTCTTCCATCTTCTGATACTTTCTTCATCTTGCAGTATTTTGCTCGTAGAATCCTTCAATTCCACAAGTCGAGATTTGAATTTTTTCTTTAGTTTCCCCAGCTTGAGAAATGCTGAGCTTGTTCTTCCTTTTTGGTTTTGTAACTCCAGGTCTTTGTACATTTTCTTACAATATTTGACTTTGTCTTCTCGAATTGACCTTTGGAATTTTTGTTCAATCTTCTACTTCCTCACTTATTCCATTTGCTAAAGCTGAAGAGCAAGTTTCAGAGTCTCTTCTGACAACCGTTTTGGTCTTTTCCTTCTCTCTTGTCTTCTCATTGACCTTTCAGTTTCTTCCTGTATAATGTTCTTGATATCATCCCACAACTCTTCTGGTCTTTAGTCTTTAGTGTCTAATGCATCAAATCTGTTCTTCAGATGATCTCTAAATTCAGGTGCGATATGTTCAAGGTCATATTTTGGTTCTCGTGGACTTGTTTTCATTTTCTTCAGCTTCAGCCTGAATTTGCATATGAGCAATTGGTGGTCTGTCCTACAGGTGGCCTCTGGCCTTGTTTTGGCTGATGATAGGGAGCTTTTCCACTGTCTCTTAACACAAATGTCAATTTGATTTCTGTATATTCTATCTGGTGACATCTATTTGTATAGTCATCTTTTATGCTGGTTAAAAAAAGGTATTTGCAATGAAGAAATCTTTTGTTTTGCAAAATTCTATCATATGATCATCTCCAGCATCATTTCTATCACCAAGGCCATATTTTCTAACCACTGATCCATCCTCTTTGTTTACAACCTTTGTATTCCAATTGCCAGTAATGATCAATACATCTTGATTGCATGTTTGATCTATTTCAGATTGAAGAAGTCTTCAATTTCATCCTCATTGGCTTTAGTGGTTGGTGCATAAATTTGAATAATAGTGATAGTAACTGGGCTTCCTTGTAGGCTGATGGATATAGTATCCTATCACAGATAGCATTGTACATCATGACTGCTCTTAATATGTTCTTTTTGATGATGAATGCAATGCCATTCTTCTTCAATTCTTCCCAGCATAGTAAACCATGTGATTGTCAGATTCAAAATAGCTAAGTACTATTTCAGCTCACTAATGCGTAGGATATCGATGTTTATACATTCCATTTCGTTTTTTTTATAATTTCCAATTTTCCTAGATTCATACTTTGTACATTTCATGTTCCAGTTTTTTCAGATGTTTCTCTTCATTATGAGTTGTGCCCCATCAGCAAATGAAGGTCCCAAGGGCTTTACTCCATTTGCATCATCACAATGGACTCTACTTTGAGAAAGCAGCTCTTCCCCAGTCATATTTTGACGCATAGTGATCAAAACTCCATCTCAAATTTGTCATGCTCTACAACCCAATCTGTTTCTAGTATATCATGCTGTAGTATGCTTAAGAAAACCCCCCTTGATGCTCTGCATGTCCCTCTTGTCCTGTAGACTCCTTCCTTTTATAACTGTTACTGTTTTAAGGTGAAATTCACATAACATAGAGCTAACTAATTTAAACCATTTCGTGGCATGTAGTTCATTCACAGTGTTGTCCAACCATAACATTTTCATCACCCTGAAAGCAGTTACTCCATTAGCCCCACCTCTCCCCTAGTCACTGACAATCACCAATCTGTGTTCTGTCTTAATTTACCTATTCTGGTTATTTCACGTAATCATGATATTTGACTTTTTGATCTGGCTTCTTTAACTTAGCATAATGTTATCCATGCTCATCTATATTTTATATAGCAAAGCTGTTTAAATGATTTCATACTCAGACTTTTTTCATCTTTCATGTACTCCTCAACCAGTTCGAGTCTGCTTCTTGCTCTCTCACTACTGTGCCTTCATCATTGCTAAATCCTGTGGTCAATTCAACATGCTTCTATATTTGGTCATTCTGCAACATTGGACAATTTGGATCACTCATTACTTCCTAAAAACCTTCCGAAGTTTCAGTGATGCCACTCTATCCTGATTGTCCTATTACTCTGGCTATTTCTTTATTGATATTTCAAGGACTTAGTCATCTTTTCTTAATTCTTTAATTATTGGCCACACAATAGGGTGAATAGAATACTATATACTCCCATGATTGATGTCTCCCAAGTCTAAACTTTCACCTTAGAATTCTCTCCTAAACTTCATACCTAAATATCCAGTTGCCTTTTGGACCATCTTCACCTGGATGCTACATGGACACCTCAAACTCAGCTTATTTCAAACTGGAGTCCTAGTCTTCACCTCTCAAACTTATTCTTGCACCTTCTCTCATCCTTATCCTACTTGGTGTGGTGCCTTCTCCACCCAGTTACCCAAACTAGGAACCAGAGAGGAGTCTTCCGCACCTCCCTTACACTTACCACTACCTCCTCCTATCTCCATCCCTATCTCTTACCATTTCACTGAGCATAAAGAGCTCACCCTTCATTTGTCTTACTTAGAATCTTATAGTCTTCCTGCCTCCTGGCCACCTCTTTCCAGCCACTCTACAATACCACCAACATAATATCTTTAAAATGCAAATCTCTATAATGTCTTCAGGAGCTCTTAATTGCTCCCAGAATTAAGACTAAATTCCTTAGCAGACAAACAGGGTCTTCCATGACCAGGCCTTTCATACTCTATTTCACATGTTCCTAGCATATTCATCCTACTCTTAAGCCAACTGAGATATACATAGGGCCCCACAAGTGCCGTGTTGTTTTCTTCCTTGCTCCTGCACTGCTGTGTCTTCTGCTTGGCATGCCCACTTCATTGCCTCCCTAGTCCCTCCGTGGCCAACTAAAAAGAAATGATTTCAGGACCCAATTTGATCTTCTGTGTAACTTTCTCTGAATTCACAAATAGATTTAATCATACCTCCCTTCTGTCCTACTTGCACTTTGTTTTCAGGTCTATCAAAGTGCTTATTTCTCTGCGTGTAACCTTTTAATGAACTGAGTTCTTCTAGTAGTTCTGTTGTCTAGCATATTAGAGGCACTCATCAGATGTGTGGTGGTGGTGGTGGTGACTCTGGAGTGGATCACCACAGTCCGTTTAAATAAGGTCCTACCTCTCATGTCGGAGACTGAGAATGGTAGATGTTTGGTTTTCCTCTTTTGTCCTTTGTAACTGTTGCTTCTACCTTTAGTACCAGGTTCTTTTTGATCTGTACTTCTTAAGGAGAGTCTGATATACCTATTCTCAGCCTTTGTTTTCCTTTTATTTATCTTGTACTTAGAGTTCTTAAAAGGAAAAGAAACCTTTAACTTACTATTAAAACTCCCATTGCCCCATTTTCATTCCATCAGATAAGTCAGATAAGAGCCTATTCTCATTTGATTCCTGTTTGCCAAAAGAATTCTTTTCTTATCCAGTGAAAAGTCATAATATGGATTTTTTCAAGGTTTTTTTTTTCATCCTTCTAGGTCCCCAAACTGTCTCCACATACTTAGTGCCAAATTAAAAACCCAACTAGTTTTTGTTAATCCTGCAAGAAGGAATCGTGGTTTTTTAAAGATTCTTAACAGAAAAACGATGACTCCTTGGGATTTTAAAATGAGCATTGCGGGTCACTAAGGGTCCTGTTAGCCACATTGGAGTCTGAAGATAATGGGACAGTCAGCATCTCAATTTAGACTTGTATATTATTTCCCACTCCAAATGTGCTGTAAAAGCTACTTGTGGTGTAACTCCTTATGTATATAATATTTATCTGACTCTTGGTTTTCTTGGTTGATTTTTTAAATGGGTGAAGAATCTAGTTATGAATTCTTTGCCCTTTGCGGAATGTGATATCGTGGTTTTGACTCCATCTGTCCCATCCCCTTAATTTTATCTTGTTTTGCATTGTGTCTTAAATAATGGCTTTGGCTTGTTTTTTCCTGAATGTCTCTGCAGTCTGGTTTGAGTATCTGGCTTTGGGCACCCCTTCTGAACTTGGACTTCATCTGTACTTGTGACTTTGGGAAGACAGAAGTCAGTGTTTTCTGTGGAAGTGGTTTTCTTTGGTTTTTTTTTATTTTTTTAATATGTGTGTATGTTTCTCTTTTGGTTTCTCTTACAAGACTGGAAAGAAAGCAGTTAAAGCAGTCCTGTGGGTATCAGCAGATGGACTCAGAGTTGTGGATGAAAAAACTAAGGTAAGCTTTTTATAAGCGTAAATATGACTTCAGATATGTTGTATCCCGTGAGCAAGTATAATGGCATTAAACTGTTGTAGTCAGTCTATATCTTTCCACTTTGTCCAAAGTACAGTGTTCTGAGAGATTATTTAAAGTTCAGGAAACCAATTTAGTTACTCATTTACCTTATGAATTTTGTCAATAGTTTGTTCCACATGATACAGCATGTTTAATGTAGTAAGCATTTTCACTTAATGTTAAGATCTGAGCTCTATTTTTGTTTTTCCAAATTTAAGAAACAATTTCACCCGCACGAATTTGATGGAACAGATCATGGCTCACTTCTGAAGTTTCTTTTTGTTCCTTAATTAAACATAAATAGTGTATTCTTGTTGTTAAATGTCGTCAAGTCAGTGCCAACTCATAGCAAACCCTGTACAGGGTTCCCAGGAAGCAACTGGTGAATTTGAACTGCTGACCTAGTAGTTCCTAGTCCAGTGCTGATTCTACTGATTAAACTGCTGTTTAACTTAAAACTCTATTTAAATTTAAAATATAAGAACTAGTAATGGATCCTTTGATTAACATCTATGCAGAGCCCATATACCATCTCTCAAATCTTACATACCATTTTTCCTCTCAGAGAACGTGACCCAAAATACCTAACAAAGGATAGATATAACAGAGAAGGAATTTGAGGTGTGTGTGGTGGTTAGGAGCTGAGGGACTGACTGTGACTTATAATGATCCCATGTAGATAGTGCATTTAATCATTCATTTACATTTCTTTTAAGACCTGGAGTCCTGGTGTGGTGGTTGTTGTTGTTGTTAGGTGACATCAAGTCGGTACAGACCCATAGCAACCTTATTATGCACAACAGAACGAAACACTGCCCAATCCTGGGCCAATCTCACTACT